TATAATTAATTAATATGCTGCCCACACTACCCAAAGGTCTCTGGGCGGCTTACATATAGTGTCCTATGCACTGCTGAATCCTGACACATTAGGGTTGAGTCCAGTTGGAGTAGATGATTGCAAAATGTTGCCAAACCAGAAATAATGCAGTTTTTAAATTTTTTAAATTTTACAAATTTAAAAAATTTAACCCTACATGTAGGCAGCTGCCTCTTCAGCGCTATATACACCATTTTGCAACAAGCTCTGCATCCAGTTATTTTTTTTATTCCATGTAGATAGCCTTCATGCTGATTGATTTAAGCTCCTTTTCCTTGTTCTTCAAACCCTTTCTCTAACACTCCCCCCATCACAAAAAAAAAAGATTCAAAGAAATCACCCATCTCCTTTAGTCTTGGGAGGTAATTACCTTTGTTCAGTGCTTCATTCAGAGACTCTGTGATGGGGGGAAAAAGAATGGATTATTTTAGAATAAGGTCATGGTACACATTTTAGAAGTCGCTACTTCACTGGGTCTCCGTAAGTTGGATAGCACATAACAGCAACAACGTTGCATACAAAGCTAAATTGTGCTACATGCGAGCTACCAATACCCAACGTAAATACTTATAAATACTTCAATGAAAAGTGAATGATTTTAGAATAAATAATGGACACTGGCTGCAGCTAAGCAGGAAAGAGGAAATTGGAACAAGGAGATTTCCTGTTGAAACTTTTTTTAAGTCTTGTTGCTAGCTTGGCCAAAAGATACACATTAGAGATGGGCGGGTTTGGGCTGGGTTGTTGGGTTGTTGTTGTTGTTTTGGATGAACAGATGTTTGGTGGTTCCCAGCCCCACCTCCTCTTGAGGATGACCACCCAGCGGATGAGGCTGGGGAAGTAAGCGCACCCTCTCCAAGTGGGCGTCTGCCAGAGGACGGGACTGGGAATCACCAAACACCTACTTGTCCAAAGGATGAACCGATGGTTCGTGCCCACCTCTACTACACATGAATGTACGGCTAAAGAGAGGCAAGAAAACATACCACTATCTCCATCTTTCATTTACATGTTCACCCGCAGAAACAGCAGGCCTTCTCCGATGTGCGAACTTTCAGATACGTTAGACTACAACACACACACACAAGGCAAGAAAACATACCACTATCTCCATCTCTCACTGACATGTTCACCCGCAGAAACAGCTGGCCTTCTCCGACGTGCGAACTTTCAGATACGTTAGACTACAACACACACACACACCAAGCCAACAACCTGAGGTGTGTCAGCTCAAAAAGTCTGATGCCTGAGCATTTTCCCAAGAGCCTCTACAGAAATTCTTAGAGCAATAAAGTAAACATCAGAAGCATGTGTTCATCACAGCCAGCATTTAGGAAGGGTAGGGATCAGCCACAGTCCTAATGAAGGCATCTAGGCTATAGGGAAATTATCCATCCACATCTTGTCAGCTCTTAGCTTTTTTTGCCTTCCCTGAATCCACTCCCTTGACCTTGAGACAGGAGCGAGGAAAATCCAAGTAATCCTGGACTATGAAGATGGCTGTGTTTTTTTTTAAAAATGCTGATAACTTACTGGCGCTTGATAAACAGTAAAAGAATTATATTGGAAACTTATGTTGCTTGTTAAAAAAAACACACACAATTCCTGTAAATCAGAATCTGGGATGTTGCCACCATGATGACAAATATTATTTTGACTCCTGGTGTTCACACTTGCTAGGCTAGTAGGTTACATTGGGTATAAGTTGCTTGCCTCTTATTTTATTTGGTAAGCAAAATGTTATGGGTCTAGTTGCCGGGGGACTAACTTGCTCAAATACCAAGTATTTTTCCTCACTTGTTTCATTCATGCTTGGTTGTCAGCCACGAAAGAGGTTCTTTTGGAAGGCAATGTTGTTATACAGTGACTTTGCTTCCTGATTTGGCCGGATAGCTGACTGATTGTTTTGCAGAGACTTTGGGTAAAAACTCTCATTTTAAATAATATAACATGCATTTTCAGGGTTGCTTCTTCTACATCCCCCTTAATTAGTTCAGCACTCTATACATACAACATTTCACACCTTGACTAGTGTTGTAGTTCAAAGGAACTGGGAGGCACCAGGCTGAAGAAGGCTACCACAGAGAAGCACAGTATCTTGAAGAAAGAGGTGAAAATTGGTCCTAAGTAGCATACATCCTCTCTGACCAGATAGTTCAGCGAGTTAAGTATCTGGGTTGTGGTGCCAGAGATTGGGAGTTCAATTCCCCACTGTGTCTTTCGGGAGTAAAGCTACACAATCCTAGAGCACCTCCAAGAAGAAGAAAGGTATTATAACCCCCTTCTGATCACCGTCTACTTTAAAAACAAAACACAACCGGAAAGGGTTTCCGTAAGACAGAATTGAATTGGTGGCACACAATTATTATTATTAACTGTGTAGTAAAAAAAAAAAAACTTCCTCAGGAAGATTCTTCTCCAGTACCTTTGCATTTTTTCATGGCCTTCATTACAACAACATTTGTCTGAACGCAGTCTCTGATCTTCTCTTCCAGTTCTGGAGAATCCTCCACCAGCTGTCTCACTTGCCTTTTCCCTTCATATCTATAAAGAAGAAAACTAAAACTGAGGAAGGGTTAACAAAAACTGACCCACCTCCAACACTGCAGTCCTGAAACAGCAGAATCACCCCCTTATTTTAAAGAAGATCCGTGCCTGAGTATCTACTTAGTCTGCCACCTCAAACATGTATCTTTTTGTGCTTTGTCTTCTCTAGACCAACCTTTGGTAGTGTAGATCCATGAAAAAGAGGGCACCCCCCCCAAAAAAAGGAGTTCCCTTTAATTAATGTATATAAGGAGCAATGTCTCCTTTGTGTGACAAGCTATACCTGCTGAAAGTTGCAAATGGCTTGGAACCTAAGATATTTAAGGAGCACCTGTCCTCTTATAGACCTGCCTGATCATTAAGATATCCCTGCTATGGGTCCCACCATTGAGAGTAGTACATTATGTGAAGATATGAGGTAGGACTTTCTCAGCAGGAACACCCCCATTATGGAATGCCCTCCCTTAGATCAGTGATACCAACCTTGGGTCCCCAGAGCTTCTTGAATTACGACTTCCAGAAATCCTGGCCAGCATAGCTACTGGTGAAGGCTTCTAGAAGTTTTAGTCCAAGAACATCTGGAGACCCCAGGTTTGGGAACCACTAAATTAGAAGCTTGGCTGGTGCCAAGACCATGTCTATTTTGGCACTGGGTTAAAACTTAGGATTTCATGCCTCAGTTGTCAGTATTTTGGTCTATATAATCTCAATAAATTGTTTCAGATGTTTTAATTATTGCAAAGGATTTAAACTAAGTTTTTTCAGCTTTTCTGAACTATTATCCACACTGTTGCCAGGTTTTTTTTCATAGTAGCTGCCAGATCGTCATAGTTTGTCTTTGACTTCCTTTGTGGATGACAGTATTGGTGTATATGCACTGATGAGGGTGACTAGTTCCGCTGATGAGTGGAGCTGCAGAGACAGGATTCTTTCACTCCCCACAGTAGGTGGAACAATGGATCTCAGCGGAGTATTTCTGACCACAAAGCCAACACCACGTTCCCTGGTCTCATTCAATAGTTTTCCCTGCCAGAAGAATGAGAAGTTTTTTTCTTTGACAGATCCTGAGTCTGGCAATCTCATCTCTTGCTGTATTGCGCATGTTGTCTATTTCCTGCAGGTCATCAGAAAATCCAGGGGTCATTGTCCGAACATTCCAGATGCCCAGCTTTAAGGCAGAAGTTTTCTTATGGTTGTTGCATGGTGCAGGATTATCAATCTGCTTGTTGGGTTTCACCTAAACCCCACGCACCCCGTGAGGTTAACAGACCATGGTGAGGTAGCGCCTTACTGGCTGGGGACTGCCCAGCTTAAGGCAAGTGGTAGCTACCTAGTGAGGTGCAATGACCTCTCCCACCATCGGAAGTAGTCCCTGGTGTCATGCTCTACGCCAATCGAGCAGAGCTATAACCAGTAACTGCTACTTCCCATGTTGTTTCAATGCTGTATGTGAACCTGGAGTGTCCTCTCCAGAGCACGAAGCCTGGGTAAAATAATATGGAGGATAGGCTGTTACCCAAGCAGCAAATCCCCCCTCTCCACATTGCTGAAATGGTCCAGTGGAAAGGTAAGAGCCAATACAACTGGTTCCAGCGACGTCTCAGGAGTTGCCAGAACGACATGAACTGCCTACGGGACTCCAGCTCCGGATTTTGCCTCAAGGTTAACTCCTGAAGCCTTTTCCATCAGTGGATATAGCCACAAGGCAGTGGAGGTTTGAAATCAGAGTTTTCCTTCTCCTAGATGGGCTGCCTTCCAAGGCTGACGAGCCCCACTTACCCGGCCTGCTCCCTAATAGTGCGGAAATTGTTTTCCAAGATGACCACCAACTAACAGAGCATTTCTACACAGGCACCTCATTGGCAAGAAAACAAACATGCCACTGGTGTTCCAAGTGCAACAGGTCCTGCACTCTCCATCTCAACTGATTGGTCAGTGAATTAAAAAAGAGAAGAAGTCTGATTCTACCCCTAAAATCTCAACTGATTGGTCTATTTGGCTTTCCTATTTACCAGATTAGAGTCAAAAATAGAATCAGAGAATTTCTGCTCGCACTCATTTAAAGCCAGAACCCCGCCCCCTCAGACCATGAGGTCAGGGAGAACAAAGGTCAGCCTAGAAGAGAATATCTCGCCAAATAAAATGTCATCCCAAACACAGCTCACCTCCTGCCTCAGCTTCTTCTTCAGGAAAAGGGGTGGGTCTCTAAACCAAAGGCATTCAAGAGACAATTGGACCACCATCTGTCAGATCTGCTTTGATTTGGATTCCTGCCTTGAGCAGGGGGTTGGACCCAATGGCCTTAGAGGCCCCTTTCAGGTCCATTTTATGATTCTATGGCAGATATTAAGCAAAGGAAAAAGAGTTGACTGCGTACCTGGACAAAGTGCTTCTAATGTCCTGAAAGAAAGATAAAAACAAGATGTCTCAGCCACACAGCCCAATGACATATCTCAGTTCTTCTGTGTGGTGCAGCTAAGTGGCTTCCTCCTGCCTAAAGTGGGATTGTCAAGGTTGGGAAATTAGTATGGATAAGGTGCTAAAGTAATTAGAGAGAATATTAAAAAAATGCAATCTTGGAAATACATACTGTGCTTGAAAACTGAGGTTTGACTTACTAAAAGTCAACTGAAAAAAAAATCAGCCAGCTCTCCAGCCCACTTTGAAAGCAAGGTCAATGTAAAATAACATTGCCTTGCAAAAGATTGACTCATGGAAGGTGAAGATTAAAACCTGGAATGGAGTCACTGCACCTGTGGAGCTGGAGTCACTACTGATCACCATTGCCATCTTGGGCTTCTACAACAGAGACAGAGAAAAAGAGAGGCAGGGCAGGAAAGGTATAGGATGATGGCAATGGAAAGGAAAAAGAAGGGGGGAAGGGGAAGAAGAATGGAGGATGGGTTGCTGCAATGTGAGGCATGGGAGGGCTGAAAAGGTAGAGGGAACCCCTTCAAATCATCCCCTTTCTATTCTGAAAGAACTGTCAGTCCCAAGGACCTGCAAAGCAACTTTGGCTAAAATCTCACCTGCAGAAATTTACTTGGTGGCTGCTGGCATTTCTCTTCCATCTCAGTGATTTGGCCACCCAGATGGGAAATATCCTCTGAGAGTCTGAGAATATTTTCTTCTTGCCTCTTCTTGAACTCAATCAGGAGATCTCTCAGCTGAGTCAGGAGGAGGTGCTCTTTCTCCTCCAGGAACGTGCGCTGTTGTTCAAAGGTAATCTTGACCATACCTGCCAATGATTTAATTCGTGTCTGGAATGGGAAAACGCAACAGAAGTGGGGATGGGAATGCAAAGGTGAGATATTGGCTGAAGTCCAGTAGCAAATCACAACTAGAGTAGACCCACTGAATCAATGGAACTCACATTATGTGCTTGGAGAATGTCGAGCCCTAGCTATTCTTCAGGCAGAGCTTCTCTCTCACGACTAGTTCATACATGGAGAAATGCCGCTGGATGTTTTTTAGTATGACTTGCCAGTCCCTGGAAATGTGTTGCTAACTGGGAGGACCACCTCCCTTCAAAACCAAAGGACTTCAGCAGACACATGAATAGGCTCACCCATGTAAGGGATGCCACTCTGTAGTGGCTCATTCACATATCTGAGGGGTCCTCCACATAGGTCAAACATTCCTGCAAGAGTACCAGGTTTTACACAGTTGGTTTGGGTGTTTTTCCTGCCCTCCAGATGATAGATGGCTCAATCTGGTACATCCAGTGACTGTTCCCCTGCCTTTTTTGTCTCTGCTGAAACAATGATTTATCTGGCTCCAGGGTTTGTTCCAGGTTGTAGTTTAGTACTATGGTGCTTTCAAGCAAAGTTCATTGCTGGCAGAGAGGCTCCTAGCTTTCAAACAGCTCAGAAAATAGAAATTAAATTACTGTGATTAGGGTCTTCATGTTTTGGTGATGGTTCCCTCATTTTGGCGGGAATAAGAGACGGAGGCGATTTTAAAAATTCAACTGATTCAACTTTATTAACTCCAACATCCAAATTAACTAGATCAAATGAGTCCAAGCAACTTAGTTTTGCTAAAGTGTTCTAACTTATAACTTTAGTCCCAGGAGTTAACACTTCACTCCTCACATTGGGGCTGGACCAAATCGCTCTCGGTCCGTCATTCTTCTCAGTGGGATACTCCTGACCGTGCAAACTGTCCCACAACAAGGGTGTCTCGCCCAGTCCCCTTCTAGAGGTGGAACGTTGTAAGAGGGACTGGGACGAATCGCTCTCCTCCCCCCACCTTGGTTGCAGGGGTAGACCACTACGGTCTTCTCTGCCTTATGTGGCTCCGGATCGGGTAGCAATCCCCCTCCAGTATTTAAATTGGGGAAGTATTTCAAGAGATTACCGACCTTAGCCCAGGCTTCTTCCTCTCTCTCTGTCTGTATAGCACAATCTCTCGTCTCTCCCTTCTGTTGTTCCGTTTGAATACTGAATTCCCGCATACCGTCTCCCTCTTTTATTACCTCCTCCCATACTATCAAATCACGCTCCTCCCCTTTCTCCTCCCCTTGATCTCCTGACAAGCACACCTCCATAGCCCTTCTTTCTGTCATCACTTCTTCTCCTATATCTATAAGTATCCCTTCTACGCATCTGTACACTTCCTCCTGCACATTTCGGATGGAAGACAGCTCACTAACATACTCTCTCTCACACGCCCCCCATGATGAGTGGGCCGTCCTCTCTTCAGTTTCCGCACCCTTGCCTCCCTGTCAGGAAAAATAATCTGCGTTAGCGTGTGCACTCCCCTTCTTATTTTTCACTTTAAAGGTACATGGTTGGAGGCTCAAATACCAACGTGTTAGCCTAGGGTTAGTATCCTTCATCCTATTTGACCATGGCAAAGGTGCATGATTGGTAACAAGAGTGAAAGGAGCTCCTAGCAAGTAATACCTAAGGGTCAGCATTGCCCACTTGGCTGCTAAGGCTTCCTTCTCTCTGGTTGCATATTTCCATTCTCTATCATTCAGTTTCTTACTTAAATACATCACAGGATACTCCACCTCGCCTTTCTTTTGAGACAGTACAGCTCCTATTCCCCTATCTGAAGCGTCTGTCTGTACAATAAAAGGTAGGTTAAAGTCGGGAGCATATCTACTGGGTAATTCGGCTAATATCCCTTTCAATTTCTCAAATGCTTCTTGTTCAGTCGCACACCACAATATTCTATTAGTCTTCTTTTTCTTAGTCAAATCTGTTAAAGGTGCCGTTATCTCCGTGAAATTGGGTACAAACTGGTGGTAGTAGCCTGCCAATCCTAGAAATTGTTGTACGTCTTGCTTAGTCTGAGGGACTGCCTGCCTAGTTGCTTTATCTACCTTCTCTGATATGGGTTGTATTTTTCCTTTTTCCACTTGGAACCCTAAGGGCTGTGTGATAGTTCTGTTACCCCCAATTCCAACATTTCCTCAACTTCTTTATTTATGGTCTATTTTAAGTGGTGAGGCAATTTCTACCTCCAGATCTCACTACTACCTGTAGAGGTGTTTTGATAGGATGCTCAATTAATGTGGTATAGTCTGGGGATCCTGAGAAGACATGCTGAAATTCTTGTTCTAACTCCCTCACTTGTTGTTATCCTTCGTCTAATTCCTCGTCAAGGATAAGCTCAAGATTTTTCTGCAAGCAGCCTGTGGCCTCCGGGCCAAAGTTCTCTTCTCCTACCTCTCCCCATAGGGCTTCCATTTCTTTCCATTCTTTCAGCAGATTTACATGGAAGATCCCCTTTTTCTTGTTTCTATCTGGCACCGCTATCTCATAGCCCTACCACTCTCGCACACACAATTACATTTTTAAAAGTTGTGAAAATGAAGTTCTAGCACATTAGTAGAAACATATAATGAGAGGCAATTATCTCAGCGCAACCTGGATACCAGTGGCAGTAAGCCCTACCTTAATCTGCACCAAATCACAAGCAAACAGAAACTGCAGCTGGAATTATTTTGCCATTTGAAAGACCCCGAAATCATCACGTAATTATTGTGCTCATCAAGTAATGTGTGGAATTTCATTGGGGGTTTACACTTGCAGGAGAGAAATCATGTCAAACTTGTTGGCAGATTGCTGCTCATTAACAAGATTCTGTTTGCATTCCTAGCCTTGTGATTGGGCACACACCCATGAATGGAACCAGCGCCTTGTTGATGAGTGGCAACTGGCCAGCAAGACTTACCTATTTTATTTTATGTGGGCATAAACCAGCAACAGGATTCTGATTGATAAATTTACATGTGGCAATCAGTCCATTATATTGCTAAGGAATACTGTATTTTTCCATGTATAAGATGATACTTTTAATCTAAAATCTTTAGACTAAAAAATTGAGGGTCATCTTATACACGGAAGGGGGGGAAGGAATCAAAGCAGGGCTTAGGAATTGGAGGGGTAAAACAGCGATGAAAGGGCTGCAGGATCAAAGGGTTGCAATCCTGCAGCCCTTTCATCACTGCTTTACCCCTCCTCTTCCGCAGTCCTTTGTTCCTGCTTTCATGGGGCTTAGAAAGTGAAGGGAGGAAGCAGCGAACAAATTTTCTTATTTGGGGCTGGAAAAGTGGGGTCATCTTATACATCGGGTCATCTAATAAATGGAAAAACATAGTATGTTTCATTATATTGCTAAGGAAGTCATTCTGCAGTTCTAATAGAAAGATCAATAGTATGTGTGTCTGGAAGAGTCTACCAGCCAGGTCTCATCAACATATAGATGTACTTGGACATTCTCAACCTTTCAGACTACAACTCCCAGAACTTCCCAGCCAGCCTGGACACTGGCCATATTGTCCAAAGCATTCTGGGAGCGTATCTACAATACGTAACAGTGAAACACACCTACCAGATACATCTGGCACTTCTGCTCTTCAGCCAGCTTTTCATCCACAAGTTTCTTTCTCTCTTTTTCCAGAGATTTTTGGTGGATCTTCACTACTTGCTGTGTTAAAAGAAACAAAATAGAAAAGCAGGAAAGGACAAGGATTTAGCCTTTTTAGGGCTTCTGATAAGCAGAATTGTTTTCTGTAGAAAATCATCCCTGATCTGATGGCGAGATAGGCCACTGTGTTCCTGAGGGGCCTTTCCATTTCTTACTGGGGAAAATCAAACACAACCCAAAATCTGAAGCACAAAGCAAGCTGCCCTACAGGCAGCCAGGTGATTTATTCTCTTACTAGCATCAGGTCTTGCCTTGTCTAACTGGCAGCAGCTGTCCAGAGATAACATACATTTTCTTTCACCGGTTATCCATAGTCTTTCTAACTAGAGAAACTGGGACGTTCCACATGTATAGCAGGGGTGGCACTCGAGTTGGGCATTTCCCTTATCAGCAGACTTGGGCCTTAATAAAGCATTGCATTCCCATGAAAAAGATTGAGTTTGAGGTGCAGGTGTGTCTGTCTATCTATTCCACTTTTCTTCCCATAAGGAACCTAAGGCAGCTCACAACTAAAGCTATAAAACAAACAAGTTTTAAAAAATACTGTACCATCTATCTATCTATCTATCTATCTATCTATCTATCTATCTATCTATCTATCTATCTATCTATCTATCTATCTATCTATCTATCTATCTATCTATCTATGCTTTGATTCTTAAAAAGGGCCCAAGGTAACTTACATTTATATACTGTGTGTGTTTGTGTGTGTGGTCTGTCTGTCTGTCTGTCTGTCTATGCTTTGATCCTTAAAAGGGGCCCAAGGTAGCTTACATTTATATACTGTGTGTGTGTTTGTATTATTTATATTACACTTACACACACATTATACATCTATATAAACATCATATTAAAAACAAGTAAACATCTATTCAAATGAAAAGCCACTGTTAAAAAAAACAATTTTTAAAACATTTACATTTTAAAGGTTTTTCCTGCGTGTTTATGCTTGCCCTCTGGGGCGCGATCTCACATTCACACGTGCCTACCTTGTAGGTTTCTGCCGCCTCCTCGGCAGGGACCACCTCGTGTGTTCGGTGCTCCTTGGACCGGTCGCACACCACGCAGATGGGGGCTCCATCGTCCTTGCAGAAGAGTTTGAGGGGCTCCTGGTGCCTGAGGCAGACTCCTCTCTCCATGTCGGCTTCCCTCCTCTCCTGGAGTCTCTTGACCAGCCCTACCAGATTCCCCAGCTGTCGGTTGGCCCTGAAGCTCTCGGTAGAAACGCGTCGCCTGCAGTAAGGGCAGCAGCCCTCCGCCTCGTCCCAGCATCCGGTGAGGCAGGCTCGGCAGAAATTGTGCCCGCACTCCACAAGAATGACTGGATCTTGGAAAGAGGACAGGCAGATGGGACATGTGATTTCATCACAGAACTCCTCGACCAGGCCCTCAGCTGCCATCACGGTGTCTCCTTCTCTTCTCGCCTTCCTTTCAATTCTAGTTTCGTTTCTTCTTGACCTGCTTCTGACTCCAAAGAGACTCCTAACGGCCATCAGCAGCATGACGCTCTGAAGGGGACAAATGGGGCTTGGCTTTTTTTGAAACATCAGCATAACTTTGTTGTCGTTGGTATGCTTCAGCAGCATGACGCTCTGAAGGGGACAAACGGGGCTTGGCTTTTTTGGAAACATCAGCATAACTTTGTTGTCGCTGGTATGCTGCCTTCCCTCCAGTCAACGCTTGATTCTTTCTTCTCATTTTTCCTTTAGTTATTTTTTTTACTCTCTTTTCTTGCTTTTACATCCTCATTTGAAGATTTATGTAGCTACTTTTTATTAATTGTCTATGTTATATTGGAAGCCGCCTCAGAGTGGTCGAATAGACCAGATGGGCGGAATAAAAATCAAATAAATGAATAAATGAATAAATAAACAAATAAACAAACAAATAAATAAATACATAAAAATATGTGCATCAAGATAAAACTGAGCTTCATCTGGCAGCCGCATGCATGAGGGCTCTCCGAGAAGTCCTATCTTCAACAACTCTGCTCCTCTCTTGTAGATTCAAGCCTGTGGCTTCCTTTCAAGAGCCAGTCCACCTCATATGTTGGTCTTCTTTTTCTGCGGCTTTCCACCTTTCCTGATAATATTATTGTCTTTTCCAGAGAACCCTGTGTTCTCCTTAAGTGCCCAATGTAGGACAACCTCAGCTTCAACATTTTTGCCTCCAGAGATAGTTCAGGCTTGATTTGCTCTCGAACCCATTTGTTCATCACCAGGGTATCCACAAAGCTCTCCTCCAGCAGCATCTTTCAGATGGATTAACTTTTTTCCTGTCAGCTTTCTTTGCTCCCCAGCTTTCACATCTATACAAAGGGACTGGGGATATGAACAGCATGACTAGCCGATGTCAAAGTGTGTGTGTGTGTGTACAAATGTTGGATTATTGCAAGAGGCATTTTAAACATAACACAAAAGCCACACTAACCAATGGGCCTGGCTCTGTCCAGGTTGAAATTCTTTAGTTTCCTGGGTTAGTTGGAGTACTTTTATATATAAGGGACTCGAACTAACCCAGTAAACTAAAGAATTTCATTTCTATCAGGCGTCTCAAACTCAATTTACTTGAGGGCCCCTGGAGGCAGAGTCTGGGCGAGGCTGGGCCGCATCAGATTTTCCGTCAAGTGGAGCAAGAGCCCGAGGAAGCCGCCCATGAGTTTCCTTAGCCCAGCTGTGGCTCCGAGGAGGAGGAGAGGCGCGCAAGCCCTCGTCGCCAGCCACAACCTCCTCTGTCTCTTCTTCACTACCACCACCAGCAGCAGGACGAAGAAGCGGAGAAGGGACAGAGCGCCGGCGACCGCCTAGCTGGAGTGGGGTAGGGTGGAGGGCATGACATAAAATAAAAAAACCCCTCACAGAATCACCTTGCCAAAGGAGAAAAGCCCCCACTGG